TGACTAGTGTTGGTAATGTTTTATTTCTCAACCTAAGTGGTGGGCATATGGGAATTCATTATATCATTCTTTCATTGACCAAGTGTTTGTTTTATATATATGTATATTTGTGTGTGTATACATGTATCTATATATACATATATATAAAATAAAATTTCTGGAAAGCCTATTATGTGCTTTAGGGTAGTAGTTCCTGAATTTTTTACACCAAAAACATGCCCTAAGTGTTCTGTGAGTTACTTAGTAACTGTGTGGAGTATCAGTGTTAATATCAGGGTTCAGAGGAGGGGCTGTTGATGATTCAGGATTTTATCCTGCATCAGTTGGTAGTCTAGAGAGACAGTTTTTATCATAAGCTTGTTTGAATTAAGCATTCATTTTGAATAAAGCATTCATTTTTGCAGGCATTCACAATGGAATATCAAGAACTGAAGCAGATTCCATGTTGCCAAGCTGCTTATGATGTAAAAGGAGAGCTAGGAAAGATGTGCACGTGTACTGTATGAAAAGCGAATAATGTATGTGGGAGTTCAGGAAAGGAGAGAGAATTACATGGGTCAGAATTTTGGGGATTCAGGGACTGGTCGTTTACTCTGCTGGTGCTGTCAGTCTTGTTCCTGAAGTGTCTGAGGCATCAGAAACAACTGCTCTTAGTGCCCACACCTCAGGGTTCCTTGACTGAGAAAATGCAAGTTAGCAAAACTTCCAGCGAGTCATTGGCATTAATCAAGGAGCTCTTGGGTGTTGTCATTGTGGTAGGATACAAAAAGAAAGATGACTGGTGCCTCCTGAAGTGTGCAGGGATGGGTGTCACCCCTAAGAAGGTGTGGGGGCCGTGTTAGGTGGAGTCAGCACTGTTGGGTGGCCCTCTCTGGTGAGTACCAGTGCAAGCATGTCCCCTGAACCTGCCTTTCCATTAGACTGTCAGAATGACCTCATCACTGCTGGGCAGGCCTCATTAAATTGTGTTGTAGAAGGACAGATGGTTTGTTTTTTCCTGGCAAGCTATTATGCAACTTAAATCTGTGCTAGCATTATTTTCTCAGATTTTGACTGTTACTATAAAATTTAGCCCATCTCCATTTTGTCCTTACTCTCCTTTTAATCAGGTGTTCTTTTGGATTGTCATAAATCTTCTTTGAGGTGTGTTTACATTTTATTGTTACCTATTTTAAGCCTTTTTCTCTTTTCTTCCTCTCCCACAGTTTTTTTGGCTTTAGTCCCAGTACATCAGATCCAAAATCCTTACTTTCCCTTCTACCGGTTCCTACATCAATGTTGACACTTTCCTTGCCTCCTACTTCACGAACCTCTTCTCTCTACATTTCTGACTCCTGCCCCATCTCAACTGTGCTTTGTAACTTCAGGAAAAGTCCTGAGGTGGGCCTGTGAAGTTGCCTTTGCTGCCTCTCATCCCAGCTCTCTATCTTTTTTCCTTTCCTTGCCCAACCTCTGTGTTAAATAAAATTAACACAAATATGTTGCCCACCAACTGTGGGAAAGGAACTTCGCCAACCTTACAGGGGATGCAAAGATGTCTTAAGGAGTATGCAGTTTAGTGTGGGAGGTAGACAGGTCCATAAACTAAAATTACGCCTGAGGTATCGTGAGTGAGATATTTGAGGGGCTCACAAGATAATGAGGGACAAAACTAGTGTGAGTAGAAAAAGGAAATGAGGAGCCTTGCAGGAAAGCCTCACCCTCTATTAGCTAATTAGCTTGCTATTGACAGAGCTGAGTTCTTTGACGTTGGACCCTCCCTTGTCGTGCTGGGAGCTGTGTCCAGTCTGATTCACTTTGGCTAGGGTTATCTTTTACTAACTCCTTCTGTTTCACCAGGAAGCCCCTGAACAGACTTAGTGGGTATGTCCGTCCACTTCTATTTCTGATTCCTGCCTGACTCTTGGTGCCGTGTCCCATTTCTAGATTTCTCATGTGATCTTGGGGCCTCATCTTCCTTCCTGCAGTCTTTGCACTGGATGTGGCTAGACAAGTTTAGTCCTCTTCCTCAGGGCTGCCATGTGTATTTTCACTGGGGGCGTGGAGCAAGAGTGGAAAGTAGGGTTGGAAGTGACAGAGGCAATAGGAAGGGGCATAGTCAGGTTGAGACTGTCTTGGTTTCAGCCACTAAGATATGTATACCTCCCAAATTGACCCAATTCTGGTACAGCTGTTTCTACAGCATCACCATTGATTTTGTCAGTTAAGATGGAAAAGAACCATAAAAAGACAATGGTAGTAAGAGACTGGTTTCTGACCTATTTCTCTCTGGATACTTTCCCAAGAGATAGAAATAAGATAAGGGATGGGGCCCTGTGGCCGAGTGGTTAAGTTCGCATGCTCCGCTTCAGCAGCCCAGGGTTTCACCGGTTTGGATCCTGGGTGCGGACATGGCACTGCTCATCAGGATACGCTGAGGCGGCCTCCCACATACCACAACTAGAGGGACCTACAACTAAAATATACAACTATATACTGGGAGGATTTGGGGAGAAAAAGCAGAAAAAAAAGATTGGCAACAGTTGTTAGGTGCCAAAAAAAAAAGATAAAGGAGAAGTTGGTTATATCAGGGTGATATTTGGTGTTTAAATATCTTAGCCTCTCTCTACTGTCTGTAAGTGTTGTTAACACCTAGCTCTTGGAAATCTAGCTTTTGGCAAAGTGCCTACTTATTACTGTTTCCAAAATACTTGTGGAAATCTGAGCTGGAGCTTGCTATTGACAAAGAACAGGACACTTCTTTCTAGATTTAACTGAAAATCTCCTTGTGTTTAGAGCATGTCAATCATGCTTCTACAAACCCACTTGGACCCATTTTGCTCTTTTGTGCTTTTGTCAGTGTAGTAGGTCATTTCATGACTCTGAATCTCATATATTACATATCTTTTCTGGAAACAGTAAATCCTTCCAGAGAAAGTTATGGAAATACTGGCTTTCTAAGGTGAGCTTCAGAGTGGGAGCAGTTGGTACGCAGAAATGTTTATTGAATGAGTAGGATTTTAGTAATGTGTACAGATGTTGCTCAGTTTATAGACTCTCTAACTTGGTGGAAAGTTACAAAAAAAATTCAGTAGCATATTTGACACATAACATTAGCAATCACTTCTTATGAAAAAAACACTTAGTAACAATCTCAACCTGTACTTGTATATTGATTTGTGCTTTTCACAAGGTTTCTACGTGTGTAAGTCTTTGAGACAAACTAGATGAGTACTGCTGTCATCCCTGTCTTACAGATGCCTGAAGTAAAGGCTAACAGGCCAATATGGTAGCCCTGAGATTAGAGCGCGTGACCTACTTGAGTGCTCTTGCCTCTGCTCACTGTTTAGACAAAAAATTTGCTTGAGTCTCTGATGATAAGAGAAAAATAAAGCAATGGTTGAGTTTTGTTTTGTTTTGTTTGAGGAAGATTAGTCCTGAGCTAACCATCTGCTGCCAATCCTCACCTTTTTGCTGAGGAAGACTGGCCCTGAGCTAACATCCATCCCCATCTTCCTCTACTTTATATGTGGGATGCCTGCCACAACATGGCTTGACAAGTGGTGCCATGTCCACACCTGGGATCCAAACCGGTGAACACTGAGCCGCCTAAGCGGAACGTGCGCACTTAACGGCTGCGCCACCGGGCCAGCCCCAATGGTTGAGTTTTTTATCGTACCGTTTTTATTCAGTTAAGGAGATGCCTTTTATTCTGAGATTCTTTCAACAAATACTAAGTACCCAGCTGTGTACCAGGTGCACAGGTACTCAATATAGTGTTGAACAAGACAGACATGGAGCTTATGTTCTAATGAAGGAAGAGAAATAAGAAGAAGTAAACAAGCAATGACATGACAGGAACTAAGTTCAGGTAGTAATAAGAGTACTGAAGAAAATAAAGTGGAGGAACACTGGTGGTGGTAGTATTTTCATTTGTGATATATTCTTGGAAATGGGCGTCACGGTTTAGTGTACCTGTGTTTTAAAGAGAGATTCCTTCCAGAGGAATCCAGGCAGTCATAAAACATCTCTTCAGCGTGGTGTTTGGGGGCTTCATTCACGTTAATATATTTTGTTCTTTTTCTTCAAAATTGACCTGAAGTCCAAAATCGTCTTAAGTCCGGAGAATGTCTAGATGAGGCTAAAGATTTGCTGCTTCAGGAAACCCTGCTGATTCCATATCTCTTTCATGATATTGAGGCTACGAGGGCCAGGCTTATTGCTGGCCAAATATACCATTTTTATTATTTTCACTCATCTTTTATAAAATAATGAAAGCGAAATACTAGACAACAATATTTTCTCAGTTTTTATTAGCAACAGAACTTTCTTCAAAGAAAATTCCAGATATCCAGTATGTAACACATGCTCCAAAACACAAACTTACTCTCGTCTTCTTTACACCATAATGGCCCCTGAGGAATACCTGAGAAATCACGAAGGCTTTGCAGAGCACAGGATGAAAACCACAATGAAAAATTCAAGTTGTAAATCTTGCCATAAAAAGCTAGCTGTGCCGCTGAAACTGGCAGAGCCACCACACCAGAGCTTCAAAATCATGTTTTGAAATCCATGAAAGCCCACGTTTGGTGAAAAAATAGATTTATATGTACATTTTTACTTATAATTACATTTTCAGGTAGCATGTACTATATAAAGCAAAGTTAGACTTTAATTGTAGCTATTTCTTCAGCGCATACTCCCCCCCCCAGTTTTTATTGAGAGAGGACTGACACACAGCACTGTATAACTTTAAGCGGTACATACAGCGTCGTGATGTGACTTACATATATTGTGAAGTTATTACTACAATACGAAGAATACTTTTCATAATATGTAGACATGATGGTACTACTGGGGCTAAAATACTTTCATCTCCTAATTTAAAAATTACGTTTCATATTGGTCAAGATTTATTTTTCATAAATTGTTTCATTATAAATAAATCCATCGTATATTTTATGTATCATTATGAAATAATCAATTTGCTAGTTTAGATGTTTTTTCTCTTTGTCTTCCAGTTTGCCAGGGTTTGGATACCTGATCCTGAGGAAGTTTGGAAGTCGGCAGAGCTACTGAAAGATTATAAGCCGGGAGACAAAGTCCTTCTGCTTCACCTCGAGGAAGGAAAGGTCGGAACTTTGCTTTTGTTTGTTGTCGTTGGCATAAAGTGAAGGGAATTCAAAAGTGTAAGTTTGCTGTGGCATACTTGACTTCAATTGGAAGGTAAATTTTGAATTAATCTAATATTTTTAGTTACTAAATTGATAAAAATGGCAAAATGGCAAACTCAATTTTCTATCCCAATGGGTTAGTGAAAATAGCCGATACTTTAAAAATCCATTATTTTTGTCTGTGAATTTATTATGATTAGTTTAAATTTACGTCTCATCCTCCCAAAGATATGCCTGTTTATCTGTATTTTGTTTAGGCTAACATTAAAACTATTTAAGGGCTGGCCTAGTGGCATAGTGGTTAAGTTCGTGCGCTCCGCTTCAGCCTGGGCTTTTGCGGTTTCGGATCCCAGGCATGGACCTGCACACCACTCATCAAGGCATGCTGTGGAGGTGACCCACATACAAGCAGAGGACAATTGCCACTAATGTTAGCACAGGGCCAATCTTCCTCACCAAAAAAATAAATAAAAAAGGAAATTAGTTCATATTAACTAAGAAAGCATCATCCAAGGAGCCAGTATGAGATTTGATATTTGCTGGAACTAATCATTTGAAAAGTATTTACTGAGAAGTTATTATGTATAAAGCACTTCACTGGTGATCTGAAAAACTTAAAACCAAGTGTGTCTCTCTACTTTCCCGTCTGCGTTCACTGCGTGAGTGGACTTGTCTTACTTCCACCCTTTTAAATCTCCCCTCTGCATTTGACAAGGCACGTCACAATGTTTTCTTAAAAATGTTTGTGACATTAATTTCCTTTAAATAACTTATAGTCTAGCCAGGGAAACTAGATATAAATGCATGAGAAGTTACACAAAACACAGGATATAAAGAGTAGTTCAATATCACACTACAGAAGATATCAAAAGGTAAATTGCTGATTAACTACCAAATGAGTAACACTCTCCTGACAGTTAACATGTACTGAGCACTTACTCTGTGCCAGCTGTCATTCTAAGTGCTTTATTTGCGATGACTCAGTTAATCCTCACAGCAGTCCTTTGACGCGGGGCTATTGTTACTACCACGTTATGGATGAAGAGCGAGTCTCAGAGGCTTTGGGACTTGCTCAGGGTTATACGGATGTTAAGGGCTGAAGCTGGGACTTAAAGCCAGGAAATCTGCCTTCATGGTCTGTGCTCATAACCACTCTGCTCTCCTGTAAGGACAGTAAGGACCGAGGGTCCTGATAGAGGGAAATGTCATTGTGGGCTGCTTTATCGAGGAAGGTGTCAAGGAGGAGGAAGATTTTGACTGGATGTTAAAAGGTAGGTAGAACTTGGATTGACAGAGAGAAAGGGGGTAGACCTGTGAGGGCTGGAATGTACTTTGGAGATAGTGAATATAACAAGTTGACAGGAGTGGAGATTGAGAAAGGTATGTGTTCTAGTTCATATTAAGATACCTGCTATATGCTATGTTAAGAGGTGGCAAAAGGTATGCTCTCTGACATCAACGTGAAGTAAGAGAAATAGATGTACTTATAGTGTGATGCGTGATATAATAAACGTAAGCAAGAAACAAAAGTAGAACCCAGCAGGAAGTGGTCAGGGGCTGGTGAAGGTAAGAGGTCAGAGAGGCAGTGTCTGAAGAACGAGTGGACGAGGGGGAGTGTGTTTCAGGGACCCAGAAAAGCACGTGCAAAGGCAGGGAGGCGTGCACAGTAGTGTGCGTTTGGGGACCCACACCAGTCCCATGTGGTTGGGAGTGTGGGACTGGCAGGAGGATGGGTGGCACCAGATCACAGAGGGCATTTGTGTGGTCGTGCTGAAACTCTTGGACTGTGGCTAGGATGTTCTGGAGACTGATTGTAGTGTTTTTAAACAGAGGAAGGATGCCAGGTTTGTGTTTTAGAAAGGACTCATTGGTGGCAGCATGGAGGATAAATTTCAGGAGAGCACAGCAGAGACAGGGAGATTAGTTGGGAAGAAGGCACGGAAAAATTAGGCCAGATTAGAAGGGCCTTGAATGCTAAACTAAGAGATTAATTTATTCAACATTTATCGATCCTCTACTCTGTTAGGCACGATGTTAGGCACTTTGGGCTATATTGTCTTATGTTAATTCTCACAGCAACCTGTGGGTTGGTAGCTGATATTATAGCTATTTTCCAAATAAGGAAGCCAAGGATCAAGTAGTTCTGCCTGAGATCACACAGCCAGAAGTGGCTTTTGTGTATTGCAAGGACCAATGCAAGGACCAGTGAGCTTTGGGGAAGGACATTATACCCTAATAAACAGGCAGAGAGAGGTCTAGGGGCAGATTGTAAGTTTTCCTCCTCATTTAGCGTAGATCATTCCAACCTGATTTGAATATATGACCTCTGTGTATCTCTTCAGTATTAACAAAAGTGGCTTTTTTCTCCCCAAATCCCCCCAATACATAGTTGTATATTTTAGTTATGGGTCCTTCTAGTTGTGGTATGTGGGATGCTACCTCAACATGGCCTAATGAGCGGTGCCATGTCCGTGCCTGGGATCCGAACCCTGGGCCACCGAAGCAGAGCATGTGAACTTAACCACTCGGCCACAGGACCGGCCCCACAAAAGTGGCTTTTTACAAAACCAGCTTGCCCCTCCCTATAATTAAATTGCATTTTTTTCCATTTTCACTTGTTGTATGTTATTTGCCCTTAATACATAATTGAGTAACAATTTCCATGCTGGCCTTTGCCATAAAGCCATATTCTCTTGGCTTTAAGGTGACTAGTAATTCTTAAATTTGGGGACCAAGTACCTCAATAACAATCAGATGAAAACTGTGGACTCTCTTTCAAAAAAAAGTGCACATCTGTGTATATATTTACACATATGCACATACACTCAAAGTATTACACCTAGTTTCAGGGGATTCTTGGACCTCTCAGAGTTGAGGAGTTCTCGAGTATGTACCATGTGCCAGGCATTGCCTCATTTAATTTTTACCACACCCCTGTGAGCTATTTCTATTATGCTCTTTCTTCAAATAAAGGATTTAGGCTGAGTAATATCTCCAAGACCACAGAAGAATTAAATACCAGTTTCAGGATTTGAACCCGGGTTGATCTGACGCTAAAGCCAAGCTCTTGACCACTCTGTTTTACTGCCTGTCATTTATCAGAGGCAAAGAGAGAAAAACAAAGCTTATTTAGCTAAAGATTAAAAACTTCTGATCCAGTAACTGGGTAAGAAAAAGTCTAGACTATGACTTCTCAAACTATATTAGCAAAAATTGTTAATACGAGTTAACACAGCTAGTGAAAAAGAAGACTATTTTTTACTGTTTCCACCAGTTTCTGTGGGTTTGGAAGGTGCCAGGAAAAGAATGCATTTAATAGCTGAGAAGCAAATCAGGAGGATAAAATAATCAAAACACACGGACCTGTTTCTCATCTGTTGCCATCACTTATCCAGATGCTGTGTCTTGTGCATTTTCAGGATTTGGAATATCGTCTAGATCCAAAGACCAAGGAACTGCCTCACTTAAGAAACCCTGACATACTTGTGGGTGAAAATGACCTCACGGCCCTCAGCTATCTTCATGAGCCTGCTGTGCTCCACAATCTCAGAGTCCGCTTTATTGATTCAAAACTTATTTATACATATTGTGGTAAGTGTGCCTTGCTGTCTGAGTGGACTGTGAACTTTTTCCTCTAATGGACATAGCCATGGAAATATTGTGCATGGGGAAAGAAGGCTGTGGTTAGATTTTCTCTTAGGGACAAAATTACTTCAGTGTTATCAAAATGATTTACCAGGGCTGGCCCCATGGCCTAGTGATTAAGTTCGGCACGCTCCACTTCGGCAGCCCAGGTTTGGTTCCTGGGTGCAGACCCACACCACTCGTCAGTGGCCATGTTGTGGTGGTGAGCCACATGCAAAATAGAGGAAGCTTGGCAATGGATATTAGCTCAGGGTGAATCTTCCTCAGCAAAAATGAAAAATAAAGATTTCCCAATGTTCATTAGCTAGGTACATTTTATGCTGAATAAGTTCTTTTGTGAACTTATATAATTTTGCTCAATATAAAAAGAACTGGGCGCATCTTTTGATTCTTTTCCCCCACAAAAGTCATGTGCCAAATTCAATGACAATTTGACAGTTATTTTCATCTCTTACAAAACTACCATATGAAGAGTAGATGTCCAAAGACGTATCTTTGTGCCAAGTTCAAGAAGTTTTGTGTTCTCTTTTTCTCAATTACTTAGAGATGCAGGACTGACTTGACTCGTAGTAACTATTCTTGCTTGATCTGCTTGCCTGGACCCCTGCTCGCTGTGGTATTAGCTGCCAGTGACCCAGCTCAGGATTCTTCTCTTAGAAATTAAGCATGCACATGTGTGTGCATTTGGGTTCCTTTCCCCTTTCCTTCTTTTTCTCTCTCTCGGTTTTCTTATCGTTTATTTTCTCCTCATCCCTGCCTCTTTTTTCTTGGTGACTTCTTATCTTTCTTTGCTAATCACTCTCTTATGAGACTCACATCTGAGATTTCCATTGATTTCCTTCTAGATTTGTTTGCTTGGGCACCCCACTCAGTGCTCATCACGTCTTCATTACTCTCCTGTTTTGGACAGGGACAGCCATCTTTTCATCTTAAAAGAGTTTATATCTTTTATATCCTTGATTAACTCTTTTTTTCCCTATTAACTGCATATTTCTTTCTCCATTTTCGTTTTTCTTCAATGTATTTTTTCTTGCGCATACTTACCTTCTGAGTAAAGCCTTCCCTGCCCACCCTATCTAAATTATGAACCCCTCTGCCCCTCCTTCGTATCTGTCTCCCTTCTCTGTTTAGCTTTCCTCCTTTTTTCCTTACTACTGTCTAACCTGTGACATATACTTTTTCTTACTGGTTAATTGTCTGAATTTCCCACTAGACTATAAGGTCCACAAGGGTAAAGATTTGTCATTTTTTGTTTACTCTTGTAAACCTAGCACTTAGAAAGGACTTGACACATAATTGGAGCTGAATAAATATTTGTTGAATGAATGACTTTATTACTTTAATATACACCTACTGTAAATTTTTTGTGTGAGTGTGATGAAGATTCGTCCTGAGCTAACATCTGTGCCAATCTTCCTCTATTTTGTATGTGGAATGCCTCCACAGCATGGCTGATGAGTGGAGTAGGTCCATGCCCGGGATCTGAACCCACCAACCCAGGATGCCAAAGCAAAGCACATGGAACTTTAACCACTCAGCCACAGGGCCAGCCCCCACCTACTGTAAAATTTAGTGAAATACAAAAAAAGTATGAAAAAGGAAAAATAATTGCATGTAATTCACCGCTGAAAAATAACCAGTCTCATGTTGACTTATATGCTATCTATGTGTATATGTGAGAAAGTATAGATATAAAATTGGAATCAGTCTATAGTTTTGTCTCATGTTTTCCTGTGACATTTAATATTCTTTAAAAATGTGATTTGTGGTGGTGGCACAATAGTTTGTCATGTGAATATAACAAAATGTATTTAACCACTCTCCCTTTATTATATATTTTATCTGTTTCCACTTTTTACTGTTTTGAAAAACATTATGATAAACTTTATTTAAAAAACTCTTTGCTTGAATCTTTGATTATTTCATTTGGATAAATTTCTAGAAGTAGAATTTTTGGTTTAAAATTATGAAAATATTTAAAAGTCTTCTAACATTGCCACAATTTTCATTATTTTCAATAATCTATTCCAGTTTTTAGATGGTGTTTTAGTTAGGACTAGGTAGAATGAGGCAAAGACTGTGATGTATTTTGATCCTTAACAATTTTTTAGTTCAATATTAACTGAAATTGAAATTTGTGTTAACTGTGACTCTCACTTTATACCAAGTTTGATATGCCCAGTAGGATATCACTGACTTCTTCTTTTGCTTTTTCACCCCTTCCCCCAGGTATAGTCCTAGTAGCTATAAATCCTTATGAACAGCTGCCTATTTATGGAGAAGATATTATTAATGCATACAGTGGTCAGAACATGGGTGATATGGATCCACATATCTTTGCAGTGGCTGAAGAAGCTTACAAGCAAATGGCCAGGTTGGTGGAAGCTCTGTTTATTATGTCATGACTCTTATTAGATGTGATCATTTCTTCTTTGCTGAGTCACAGATATTTTAAAATGCAGTGAATAGAAACTTGTAAGTTATTATTAATTAAACAGAATGCCTTTGGAATCTTATTATGATTGCGACTGTGCAAGGACAGATGTTGTGTTTCACAGATGAGTGAATCAAGGTTTGGTGGTATTAAGTGACTGGCCCAGTGTCATTCAGCTAATGGGTGGCAGACCAGAACTAAAAGGCCTAAGAGATAGAAGAAACCTTTCTATATCTTGGAGAATTAAAATTCAATTGAATTTTAGTGTTAGTATTATGTGCAGGGACATCAGTGAGCCTGAACAGCATCAGCAAAACGTCTTTGATATTACCCATGGAACCTTAACATTTTGGGAGTGGAGAATTGATGTTGCAGGATCATTCCTTGCCATTTTTTTCTTATCAAGTGAAGATGTTCCCTCTTTACCAGAGGTGGATCCTGGTGTTTCACATTGCCAGTGCTCCTAGAGGCCCCTCACGTCATCTGGAAGGTACAGTTCATCGCTTGTTCAATAGCCCTTTATTGAGCACCATCCAGGCACTGTTCTGGGCACAGGGGACACAGCAGCAAACAAATGAAATTAGACAAAACAGACAAAAATTCTTACCTTCATGGAGTGAAGCAGGATAAACAATAAAAATAAATAAGATACACAGCTTGTCACATATTAATAAGTGCTATCCTGAAAAATAAAGTTAGAAAAGGAGGTAAGAAATGCTAGGTGGGCTGGGGGGTGTATGTACTAGGCTCAGGGAAAGCCTCATTGTAAAGCTGCCTTCTTTTTTCTCCTAAACTTAAAAGATAGTAATTTTAGACTTAGAAAAGGTTGGAAAAATAGTACACAGAGTTATCATGTACCCTACACCCAACTTCCCCAAATGTTAACATGTTATATAACCATAGTAAATTTTTGAAACCAGGAAATTCACATTGATATAATACTATTAACCAATCTGAAAACCTTGTTCACAGTTCCTCCTTTCCCCTCTCATGTCCTTTTTCTGGTCTAGGATTCAATCTAGAATCACGCATTGCGCTTTGTTCTGTCTCCTTAGACTCCTGCAATTTAAGGCCATCCATTACTCTTTCCTTTTCTTTGACACTTTTGAATAATACTCACCAGTTATCTTGCAGGCCCTGAGGACACAACAGTGGAAAAATTAGATAAAACAGATATTAAAAAATCTTACCCTCATGAAAATTTGTTTCAGGTTTTCTCCTGATTAGGTTGAGGTTAGGCGTTTTGGGTAGGAATACCACAGAAGTGATGTTGTACCCTGCATCATACAAAAGAGATACAAGGTGCCGATTACTGGGGATGTTAACTTTGATCACTTGGTTAAGGTGGCATCTACCAGATTTCTCTACTATAAAGTTACTGTTTTAAACTGAAGTTAATAAGTATCCTGTGGAAAAATACTTTGGGATGCTGCAAATATCCTGTTTCTCATCATACTTTCACTCACTAATTTAACATCTGTTGATGATTCTTGCTTGCAACAGTTATTACTGTGGTGTTTACTGAGGGGTTATTTGCTATTCCCATCATTCCCCTACGTGTATGAATAGGAATTCTACTCTGAGGAAGAGCTGTTCCTTTCTCCCCATTTATTTATTATTTATTCATTTTTTATTGTATCAACATAGACTCAGGAATATTTATTTTATTCTATGGATTATTCTCCATTACTATCATTATTTATGTTGTTCGAACTGTCTCAGATTTGGCCATTAGGAGCACTTTCAAGTGTCCTTTCAACATTCTTCCATCATTTTTTGAGAATTTTACTTTCTAGCACCACATGGCTCATTTCCTAATATCCTTGCCCCAACCCTGGAATCGGCCATTTCTTCAAGGAGCCCTGGTTCTTTTTATTGGAGAATGAGACTTAGAAACCAAGATCTGGGTGCTAGGTGTATTCATTACTACTGGGATGTTATTGCCTCTAAGCCATCTCCATGCACAGAGCTAGGAAATGTACGTTTTCCCACAGGCTCACCAACAGAATATGTTGTTATACTTTTAAATTTTCACCAAACTGACAGGTGAGAAATGGTAACTCAGTGTTGTTTTAATTTGCTTTTCTCTAAATATGAAAGAGTTTGCACATCTTTTCTCACATACACACATTCATATCCATATTTATTTCTGTGTCTATCTGTATGTATATTCAAGCCCATGAGTTCATATTCCAATTCCAACCCAATGCCACAGTTTTTATTCTTGCTCTCTTTTCCCTTCTTTTAACTTCTTTCTTTCATCTTGAGAAACCTGGCTCTCATCCACAGTATATTTACTTGTTTGCTCAATCCCGGAATACTCATAAAGTAATTTCGGAAATGCTAACCCATACCCTGTGAAAAGCAAGTTTACCACTCAGAAACAATATTTGTGTCCAGTTCATTTTGTCTTTAGCCTTACAGAATATAGTTAAAGTGCTGATGTCCAAAGTTACTTAGGTTACTTCTTCTCTTCCCGACCCACTTTATTGGTTTATTCAACCACTTCCCCACGTATGGTCATTTAGATTTTTTTCAACATTTTGCAATTAAAACAATGCTGTAATAAATAACCGCGTATGTATTTTTATATTTTTAGAGATGTAGCTTCAGATAATTTGCTAAAAGTGGCATTGCTAGGTCAAAACGTAGACGTAAATGTAGTTTTATTAGGTATTGCCAATGCCCTCTAGAAGAGTTGTACTGGTTTGCATTCCTGCCAAAAATATTCAAGAGTACGTGTTTCCCCAAAGCCTTGTCAACAGAACGTATAGTCTTTCTTTTTAGTTCTTGCCAATCTAATGGTATCTCAATGTTGTTTTCATTTGCATTTCTTTAAATATGAGTGAGTTTGAACATCTTTTCATAAGTTTAAGAGCCGTTTTATTTATTTGTTTGTTTCATTGTAGGGTGAATGGTCCACTCATGTCTTCTTGCATTTTTCTATTGTGATTTTAGTTTGTTGATCCTCAATTTTAAGAGTTTTAAAAAATATATTTGGGATATTAGCCCTTTGGAAGTGGTATATATTGCAAATATTTCCCCAGAATTTTTCAGTTTTCTTTTGACTTTGTTTATGGTGTTTTTTTCCATGCAAATTTATCAGTCTTTTCTTTTATTGCTCTGGATTTTGAGTCATTGTTAGGAAACCTTTCCCTACATCAAAGCAAAAGAGGAATTCATCAATGCTGTCTTCTAGTCCTTGTATTGTTTTATAACTTACCTTTAGATCCCTGATCCCATTGAAGTTTATTCTTTTGTATGATGTGAGATATGGATCTAAATTTATCTTTTTTCCCAATGGTTACCCAGTTATCCCAGCATCATTTATCAAGAAACCCATCTTTTGGGGCTGGCCGGTGGCGCAGCAGTTAACTTCACACATTCCACATTCTAGGGTTTGCCGATTTGGATCCCAGGTGCAGACCTACCCACACTTATAAGCCATGCTGTGGCAAGCATCCCACATATAAAGTAGAGGAAGATAGACACAGATATTAGTCAGGGCCAATCTTCCTCAGCAAAAAGAGAAGAATTGGCAGCAGATGTTAACTCAGGGCTCAAAAAAAAAAAAGAAAGAAAAAAACCCGTCTTTGCCCCAGTTATTTGAGATGCCATCTTTATTATATCCTAAATTTTCTAAAGTTCTCAGGTCAATTTCTTGGCTCTATTATTTTCGGCTCCTTTTATCTATTTATGTCCCAGTATGGCACTGCTTTAATTTTAACATCTTTTAGTATATTTTAATTGGTATCATTAAAACCCCTCATAGTTCATCTTTTTTCATTATCTTCCTGGCTATGCTTGGATCTTTCTTTTTCCATATAGACTTTGGTATCAACTTACCTAATGCCATAAAAAGTGAAGCTGTTTTTGTTTTGTTTTTTGAGGACGATTAGCCCTTAGCTAACACCTGCCACCAATCCTCCTCTTTTTGCCGAGGAAGACTGGCCCTGAGCTAATGTTCATGCCCATCTTCCTCTACTTTATATGTGGTACGCCTGCCACAACCTGTGAACCCCAGGCTGCCGAAGCGAAATGTGTGAACTTAACCACTGCACCACCGGGCTGGCCCAAAATAAAGCTGTTTTTTGAATAATAACATGAAGGAAAGGAGGAAAGCAAGCCATTCAGATATCTGGGGGGAAGAATATTCCAGGCAGAGAGATCAGCAATTGTGAGGTCCATACGAGGCCTTGTAGACTATTGTAGCAAATTTTACTTTTTCTCTGAGTGTGGATTTTGAGCAGAGGAGTGGCATGATCTGGCAGCTATGTTAAAAACTGACCACAGATTCCTGCCAAAAATACATATCCTGAATTTAATCATGAGGAAACATCGGAAAAACTGAAAATACAAAGTAACTGTATATACTCTTCAAAATTGTCAAGGTCAAAAAAGTCAAAGAAAGGCTGAGGAACAGTTCCAGATTAAAGGAAATGAATGATACATGCCAATTAAATACAATGAATGTTCTGAATTGAATCCCTAATGATGAGGAAGGAAGATCGCTATATAGGGGACATTGCTAAATGATTGATAAAATGAGAATATAGTCTGTGGATTAAACAATGCTATTATATTGTTTATATTACTATTATAATATAAACAATTATACTATTATATCAGTGTTGTATTTCCTGATTTTGGTCACTGTAGATCTGTGAGAGCATGTCATTGCTCTTAGGAAATATACTCTAAAATATGTAGGAAGCATCATGTCTGTAACCTACTCTCAAATGGTTCAGAAAATGTTAGAATAAGAGAAACAGAGAGATTAATAAAACAGATGGGCAAAACCTAAACAATTGGTGAATCTGAGTAAAGCATATATGGTAGTTCTTTTTACTATTTTTTAAATTTTCTGTAAGTTTGAAATCATATCAAAAGTAAAGTTAGAAAACAAAACCAAAAAGAGCAGCCTGTAGTGAGACAAGGGT